CACTTTTCTTATTGACTTATTTCCTATCATCTGCAATCTACGTGATCTAACACTATCTCCTATGTACAACTAGAGCATAGCAAATGCCTAGCATGACGTTTAGCCACTTGAAATTAATAAAATAAAACTCATCTCTACACTGAAGAATGTCACTGTGTGACATTTGTTTTCTGTTGTTTTTTGAGACAGGGTTTTGTGACATAATCCAAATGGCTTCATACTTGTGATCCTTTTGCCTCAGCTTCTCAAGTGCTATCATTTGCTCTTAAGATATCTTACCTTACACCATAAAGTATAAATCTAAATCCATATATACTAGACTGAGAAAGGAAATTAGAATAGAAAGGTTTTCAGATATTTTCTAATCTTTCTGTGTAGTTTAGAGCTGAATTTTGGGGTCTTTGTATAGTTTTATTTTTTTCCCTCTACTTCTGGAGAAGGAACCCAAGGCCTTGCACATTCTAGGCAAGCAATCTGCCACTGAGTCACATTCCAAGGATCTGCATAGTTTTTTAAATCAATAATTTTTTTACATCTGGAGCTACTAGTTTAATCTCTCCTTAGGAAACAGACTTGGAGAAACTCAATAACCTGTACAGACTCACATCCTGGAAAGCGAATGCAACATAAAAACGGGTCTATGGAAGCCTGGGCTCTTCCTCCTCTCACTAGACCACACTTTCACTTTATTTATTCACTGGGTGTGGGGATGTGTGCACTTGGGCATGCTGGTGACTACAGGCCTGCAGAGTTCAGAGAACAACTTGAAGGAGTCAAAACTCTCCTTCCACTATCTGGATCCTAGGATGGAACTCAGGTTGTCATGTTTGTGAGCAAGTGTCTTCCCTGCTGAGTCATCTCACTGGCTCTACAATGCCCCTTTATCACAGACACTGAGCACACCCTTACCCACTTGTCACAATTTATACCTGTAGATGCTTTAACTGCTTCCCAGACTTTAAGCAAAAGAATGAATCAGGAGCTTGGTTAACTTCAAATATACATAGTTGTGTCTGACCAATTTTTATTACCAAAGCTGCAATCTTACTTAAGCCATAGTCATGGCAAGGACAAAGAGCAAAATGCTTATGGGTTGTTAGTAGTAAGTACAAACGTAAGGTATTACAGTTATTCTCTTGGAACTTACTTCAGAACTCAGCTGGCTTTGGTGAAGCAGAGTAGATTGATCAGATTTGTTTTCGTTTTACAATGCAAAGAGATGAACTACCATTGACTGTTCTTAACATGAGTTATCACCACATCAGAGATATTCCACCTCCCTTACTTGCTCTTAGCGCTACTACCTTTTGAACCCACATACATGTACTGCACATACCACATGCATTACTTAATGCATGCACAGAAGTAATTATGTATGTGTGCTGTTTCCATTTCAGCAAGTTCCACTACTCTACAAAACAAAGCAAGCAAAGAAACAAATGATAGACTACCTTCCCAGGCTCTCAGATCTATACTGCAATACCTAATCTCCCCCATCTTAGAAGTTTTTATTGAAGTACTGATGGTCATCAAATAGAATTTTCTGATGACCAAGGAGCTAAGACTACTTATAATTACATAGGATTTAATTGTCCAACATAATAAATTTCTCTAGTATTATTGTTTGTTTTTTCTCTGTTGGGGGGGTCTGCCACCCAGCTCCCAAATAAATCACACATGGAGGCTTATTGTTAATTATAAATGCCCAGCCTTAGCTTGGCTTGTTTCTAGCCAGCTTTCTTTAACTTTAAATTATCCCATCTACCTTTTGCCTCTGGACTTTTTCCTTTTCTTACTTTTGTATATCTTACTTTCACTCTTACTCCATGGCTGGCTGGGTGGCTGAGTAGCTGGCCCCTAGCATCCTCCCCTCCTTGTTCTCTTGCTCTTTCTTCCTCTCCTCCCAGATTTCTCCTTCTATTTATTTTCTCTGTCTGCCAGCCCCACTTTTCCTTTCTCCTGCCTTGGCCATTCAGCTCTTTATTAGACCATCAGATGTTTTAGACAGGCACAATAACACAGCTTCACAGAGTTAAACAAATGCAACATAAATAAATGCAGCACATCTTTGCATCATTAAAACAAATGTTCCACAGCATAAACAAATGTAGCACATCTTAAAATAATATTCCACAAGTATAAACCTGATTTTTCTTTAAGCCTTTCAATCTTGCTTAAAGTTTTGTTTTGTTTGTTTTGTGTAGTTAGGCATGGGAGCACACAGCTATAATGTCAGGTGCTTGGGAGTGTGAGGGGGAAAATTCCAAGTTGAAGCTAGACTGGACAACTCAGCAAGACACTGTCTCTAAATTACATTTAGCAAAAGGCTGAGATATAGCTCATGGCCAACTGCTTGGCTAGTGTGCACATGGCATTGGCATTGGGTTTCATTACCATTATCAAATAGGGAAAATCTGTTTTACCCATAAGTATAGCAAAATTCATTTGCAACAAGAACAATGATTCTCAAGAGAAAAACTTAGTGATTAGTCAACTGAAGAATGGGCTAAATACCTCTGCAATGCTTCAGTTGATGAAGTTAATATCATAATCATTTTAGATGAGTATATTTTCTTTTCTTTTGAAGAACTTTAAACATTTACCCAGACAAGCATACAGTAAAGTACAATTCTTTTTTCCCAAGAAACTGTTTGAGTGTATAAGGAGTCTAGTGTGTGTGTGTGTGTGTGTGTGCGTGTGTGTGTGTGTGTGTGTGTGTATTTCAAGGTCTTATATTTCCCAATTCTCCTTAAAAATTAGGCAAACTCCATTAACTTTCCATTTCAAATCACCAATCTAGTATCAATTACCTTTTTTAAAAAAATGAAATTGCAGGGTTAATCACAAGGTTACATGTGCTCTAGAGTTTCAAATTTTCATCATTACAAACTATTTATATTATAAACATACAGATTATCCTTATTGTAGTGCAGAGTAATTTAAAATATGGGACTGATTTCATCATCTGAGTAATATAATTAATATGATGAATTCAAAAGTTATGTATTAAATGTCAGACTTCCCAAATTGAAGATATACATTTTAAACCCCTTTTAGCAGCAATTTGTTTTTTAAAATATTCTTATTTTATATGTATGAGTGTTTTGCAGGCATCTATGTATGTTCACCACTTGAATGTCTGGTGCCCTGGGAAGCTAAAAGTGGGTTTGTGAGCCCTTGGAACTGGTATTAAAGAAAGTTATGAGTTTCCATGTGGGTCCTGGGAACAGAATCCAGGCCCTCTACAAGAGCAGTAAGTACAATTAACTGTAGAGCAATCTCTTCAGCCCCCAAAATATATTGGATATTATGTTGGTCTCTCTCAGAGATTTTGTTTGTTTGTTTGTTGAGTTGGTTGGTTGACTCATATTTGGGTTTTGTTTGAGACTATGTCTCACTATGTAGCCATGAATAGCCCACAGCTTGCTGTGTACATCTGCCTGCTTCTTTGCAAACAACACCAAAACACTGAAAAAATATGACCACATATTAGAGCATTTAAGAAGACTTTGATAAATTCTACAAAGCAGAATTCAATGGGCCATTTTATATAGCCAAAATATAATAAAATTTTAGATTTGTGATAAATAAATCCACTGATCTTGAAAATGTAAAATATATTTCCTAAATAATTACTGGGTCAGAAAAGTCAAAAGTTTAATTAAAGTTCTTTAATACCAGTATTGGATATCAAAATAAAATCAACAGCGATGGCCCTTATGAAATTTCTTCATCACTGTTAGTCGCTGTTCCTACTGGTGTAGTACTAGCTTATCATTTTCTTTTCTATCTCCTGTTCTCATCATTCTTGGTGAACTTTATATATCTAATATCCTTGGAGTTCTTGACTTCCTCAATGTCAAGGATGGCTTTGTTATAGTTAAAGAACATTCTTTTTAAATTGTGATGAAAATTTCTCAGTATCCTTATGGTATACTATCATCCATCCCATGATAACTTGCCTACTAAAATAACATTTAAATGGATCCTGTAAGATTTCCTATCTGTATCATGTATCTAATTATTCTATTTTTCATTAACTAATTAAGGTACAAGTATTTCTTTACCAGTAAAGTAGATGGATAATAAATACTAAAATATAGCTGACTCTGATATGATTTTTAAGCAAATGTATTTAAAATCTACATGAAAGGATCTGATTTCTAGTGTCACAATGAAATTACTACCAAAACCCATACTTTTCTGTATGTACCATGTCTAGCATTTGGGTTATTTCTCTCATATTATCATATACTTATTAGCATATTGAGCAGCTAATACTAACAATATTTGCACTAACCATCACTGACTAGAAACCTCAGTCTAGGGCTGGAGAGATGGCTCAGCGGTTAAGAGCACTGGCTCTTCTTGCATAGGTCCTGAGTTCAATTTCCAGCAACCACATGGTAGCTCACAACCATCTGTAATGAGATCTGACACCCTCTTCTGGCAGGCAAGCAGAACACTGTATACATAATAAATAAATCTTATAAAGAAAAAAGAAAAAAAACCTTAGTCTAAAAGAGTAGTAATGAGACACCAGTAAAGATATACTAGCATATATAGTGCTAGACAAGGGAGTATCTAGTTGGTGAGAGAAAAATTAATAAACGCAAAAGGATAGAAGAAATAATGGCGTATAGTATGTTGTTGACTTTGATTTATGAAGTTGCATGTATTACCTACTAACTTAGTATTAACTATTCAATAGGTATTTACTTTTTACATAAAAATGTTGGCCACATGAAGGCAACACAAGATGGTAGAGCAGACCCGTGGTGGTAACAATATCTCACTCCTCCCTTTCCACACCGCCATCCTTTGCATTTAGTTTTCATTATTTTGTTTACGTTATGAACAATTGATGACTGTTTCCCCTGGCACTTCTGGTCCAAGTTTCAGGGGAAAAAGATACCCAAGAGAAAATGCAGTGCTATGCAACATCAGGAAACCAATTTCTTTCTTTTTTAAAAGACATTTATTTTATAACTTTTTATATGCATGGGTGTTTTGCCTGCATGTAAGTCTGTGTATAACATGCATACCTAATGTCCATGGAAGCCATAAGAGGGTGTCATATTTCTTAGGATTGGAGTTACAGGTGGTCGTTAGCTGCCATGGGGTGCTGGGTCCTCTGGAAGAGCAGCAAGTGCTCTTAACCTCTGAGCCATCTCTCTGGCCCCCAGGAAACCAATTTCTAGAAGTTCACTTGTCTTACTGGCTGGTATATTAACCACCTTTGCTCCAACAAGATTTCCCAGAATAAAACCAGGACTCTGTAAGAAGAAAGAGAGAGTAATGTTAGGTAGGTGATCATTTGTGTCCAAACATTGAGATATGAAAGAAGGGAGAAAATTCATGGCATGTGCTGTTGGCAAAGTTTTTATGTTGGAAAGGAAAAAGGAGCTAGATTTAAAAATACAACAGGAATTAAATACTCACAAGAAAACAAGAGCAGTTGTTTTCCCCGTAGCATGAACATAAGTAGAGGACAGGTTTGTTTGACATATTCAGAGACAAGTTTAAGTGGGGACTGAGACTGAGCCAGTGGCGTAAGTCACACTTGGAAGGAACACTGACAGGAACAATTTCGTCGTATATGCTGGGGCACATTACGGACCCAGTGGAGGTTCTAAAATGAGGGGATGAATGCATAGAGCTAGTAGTTCAAGAGAGAATGCCCTGGTTGTGGGATGTGGCCTGCATTTAAATGGAAAGAGACTTGGATCTATTTGCATATGAAGTCACTGAATAATGTTCAGTGTATCAATTACAGTTGTTGCCTCACTGTCTGAGGTCTGAGAAGTATACAACAGTGTTTACAGATTAATGGTTTGCAAACTATCAGTCATCCATGGTGTGGCTCTGGTCCTTCTCCACACTGTGCTATCTAATCTTGAGACAACTCTAAGCTATCAGAGCAATATTATTGCTTTGTTTTTCAGCACAGGGAGTATTCTCTACATTGGATTGAGGCAATTGAACTTTTGAGAAAGAAATATAAATGATGATTTTCTAAAAGCAGGCCATATTTGGCCAACATATTTAAAGTTACGTATTGACAGTATCCATGTGTGGATGTGTGTCAAGACTAATACCTTCTCCAGTGTCCATTTCAAAAGCTGTGCATCCAGAATCTGGCTGGAGGGCCTGTCTGACTCATTGTCTACACCTTCCCCTATCCCTCCACTCCCTATCTCTGGGGCAACTCAGATTTCTGCTGCAGGCTAGAGTTTATCCTCACATCCAACTTCCAGCCCAAATCTTCCTTCCTTCCATTACAGAAGAAATACTGAAGCCATGATCCAGTAGCTCAATGACTCAGCAACCCAGACAGGAAGCCAGCCTTGTTTCTGCACAGGTTTACTCTTCAAATCCTTTTCTGGATATTAGATTCTCATGGAACTCTTTTCCTCACTGAATGACCTGTTGCAATGCTTATCCCAATGTCCTGTTTCTCTAGTACTGAGGTTCTAACTAGGTGTTATTTGTCCTCCAGAAGACCAACGTCCTACGGCCAAGTCTCCAACCTAGCCCTGCTCTGCCAAGCCCTCCTGATGCTTCCTACCTCCCTGTTGACATTTTCAGCTATTTCTTTTTAGTGAAACCCAGGGTCTCATCTGATTTATTTCCTATTCCATTCTGTTCAGAGCTGTCTGGTTTCTCAAGTCTTTAGACAGCTGACTACAACTCTAAAACTTAGCCTTTATTTTTGAAAATGTTGACATCTCAGGGCCTGCTTATCAATCTTTTATTTGTGGAAGGATTTTTTTGTTGTTGTTACAATGGAGATACATTTTCATTCTTCATTTTTATTTTTTATTTCCCATCTTCTCACTAGTACAAGTAGATATCTAGGCCTATAGTGCTTCCTGGATACAGAGAATGTTTCTGAAAAGCTGGAAATTTCTTGAAGATAGCTTTCTTGTTCTGTTAAAAATAAAGAAAAAAAATTATATTTAGTTTCTTCAAAAATTAAAAGAGAGAGATGTAATCTACAGGAAGCAAGGGATGTTGACCAGGACCATGTAAGGGAAACATCCTTGGGAATGGATAGACAACAGAGGAGTTATCTGAATACCAAGAGACTTAAGCCCAGGAGCCAGCAGTGTCTGAGCTTCCCTCACCCCCAAGACAAGAGCAGATGGAGCCAGCCATGGAAACTGATAGGACTAGGCCAGCAGGGACAAAGGTGCCGTGAGAAGAGTAGGCCAATGACGGGAGGAGAACAATAAAAAAAATAAATGAAAAAATGACCACAATAACAGTGGTTCAAGAGGGCTTCAGCTTGATTTTTTAAAATAATTGCCAGTATGGTCTGGGGAAATGGCTCAGTGGGTAAAAGCACTTGCTAGGTAAGACCAGGGACCTGAGTTTGAATCCTCAGAACCCACATGAAAAGCCAGGTGTGCCTGCTGCACAGGCTGGCCACCACAGTGTTGGAAGGCAGAGACCAGAAGACCACATGATTTCCTTGGAAGCCAGCTTAGCCCAAATAGCAAGCTTCCAGATCAACAAGAGATTCTATCTCAATGAAATAAGGTAGAAAGTGATAGAGATAGCTGGAGTCTTCCTTGCCAACTTCATGTATGTTCATAAGCACGTTCATACATTTTATGTACTTACTCACAAATTCATGCTCATACAAACACACAAACATCATTCACCATACAATAAAAATATTCTAGAGATCATATATATCAATAAAATATTTCTATTTTCTATTTCCAAGGAATTTTAATCCAAACATAGAAGGTAAGCAGTTACTCATATACTATATAACCATCTTTAGTATAGCATACCATAGTATAACAAACCTTAACATAATGTACCTGGTCCTGTGAGGACTAAAATAAATTAATTCTTATGGGAATAACCAGTAACATTCCCATAGATAACTAAAAAGATTAGTAAAATTCTCCAGGTGTGGGATCTTTCAACTATAATCTTAGCCCCTGGGGACAGCAGGGCTTCAAGTTGAAGGGCAGCCTGGGCTATAGCCTGAGTTGCAGGCCATCCTGAACTATATAGTGATGATCGTGCTTCAAAATCTGATAAACAGAAAATAAAACACAAGGATTGGTGAATTTTATGTGAGCAGAGTAACATTAAACACGAAAGAATGAAAATGCTGAAGCAGCAATATTCCTTGGGTAGTCCATTGGACTTCTGTCACTCTGATGTCCTGGGAGGTGATGGGAATGAATCAGGACTCAAAAGCACTGCTCTCCCGGAGTGTAGCAGCACAGAAGGTGATGGGAGGAGCCATTTTAGCAGTGATGGGAGACGGACACCTCACAGCAGAGACGTTCTGCACTGTTGTTCAAAGTTACAAGGACAGAAACACAAAGGACCTTATAGCTCATCGTTGATACGGAGCAGAATCAGTCTGCCTAACGTAAGATTAGCAACAGGTAAAGGATGCGATTTTATGAGTTAGACTTAATGAAAAAGATGGGTCAAAGTGGGACGAAACTTAAAAAAGGGAAAAAAGACAATAATTGGAAATGTTGTAAGTAGACCAAACAAACAAACAAACAAATGACAAACCAAATTTTATCCCACTGTTTTCACAGGAAAAAGAGACCTCAACAGAAATAGGAAAATAAAAATGAAAACTGAAATATTAAGAGTGGTTTCAGTATCTTCTCTAGAATATTGGTCAGGAAAGAAAATCATTTGATACAGTTCACTACAGGAAAAAAAATTTCTTGGCAAAAATAAATAAATGAATCAGCATCACTTTGGACCAATCCTGATGAAATTCTCCATGCTGGCACTATCAAGTAGGAATGAAAACACTATTATAGAAGCTGTGGTGTATGACTTTACCTCAGACCTCAGACAGGGCACTGAAGACAAAGAAAGGACTCCACCCAGTCTAGTCTGGTGAGCCAATGAGTGTCCTGGGGCTGCGTACAGGAGCACAGGTGACTCAGAGGCAGTTACATCACTGAAAAACCCGCCCAAGCCTGGATGATGATTCACGACAGCTGCATTTCTGGAACTCCCTATGCAAAAGGCAGGCAGTGCCACTGAAGATCTCTTCTTCCCTAGCAATTATTTACTGGTTCTATATCCTTGAGGAAGGACCTTATGAATCCTAAACTTTCTGAGCTTCCTCATCTTCTAAGTTTTCTGGGCTTCCTATTCTGTTAATTTTGTTTCAACTTCCCAAGTCTGACCAGCCTCTCTCGATTCAGGAAAAAACAAACAAACAAACAAAAAAACAGCAACACAACAGGAATGGGCTTTGTTAGTTTGGGTTGTTTTTGTCACTACAGAGTGACCAACGCTTAACCTAGAACAATTAACCTAGCAGGTCTCTGGTGGACTTTCCCATTTCATTTTACTTGATCTGTTCAGCTGTTACTGAATACTCCCTGAGAAACAAGTCTTTACCGGGAGTTGTATCTACAGCTATCAACACTATCATGAAATAGCTCTTGACCTCTGAGATCTTACTCGGTTTCAGGACTCAGTGGGAAAGCTTCCACTCATGCTTTGCTGTCCAAAGCCATGCACTAGGATGTTAAGGCCACTTCCCTCTCCTCCATAGCTCTGCATGTTCAGGTTGAAGCATCTTCTCCAGCTCTGCCACTAGGACTCAGAGTATGGAGCAAGGTTTTAGAAATGATTTATTGTTGTTATTGTTTTCTCTAGCCCTCCTCTTCTTTTATTGAATCTGAAAGTGTTTTCACCATCTTTCCCACAGGAGAAGCATTAGAAATTGTATATAAAATTATTCTGATCCCTAAACAGGAAAATCTTAGAAAATTATTTCATTTTTAGTAGCTAAGTTGTTATTCAGGAGTTTAATCCAGCCCCACTAAAAACAAGCATATTTTCTCCACACATACAGAAATCATGATTTTAGGATTGCATGTCACCATTTAAAAGCAATTGTACGGACTAGAGAGATGGCTGAGTCAGTAAAGAGGTTGCTATACAAGTATGAGGTCCTGAGTTCAGATCCCCAGCATCTCTAGAAAAGCCAAGCAGGGCTGCATGTGTCTGTAACCCCAGGCTGGGGAAAGGTTAACAGAGACAATAGAATCCCTGGAGCTCAGTGGTATGAGCTTTATATATAATAAGAGACTAAATCAAAAATTAAAGTGTGGGGGCTAATAAGATGGCTCACTGGGTACAGGCACTGCTGCCTAGTGAAATGGCCTGAGGTAGACCCTCAGAACCCACAGAGTGGGTGGAGAGAACCCACTTCCACAAGCTGTCATTTGACATCTACATGTGCACCATGACACTCCGGCGAACACACACACACACACACACACACACACACACACACACACACACACAGATACACACATACACGCATATATGCGCACACGCACAAAACACAGAGGCATACGTAACACACACATTCATGCAAGCAATTACATGGTTTTAATGATTAAAATAAAAGTAATATTTGACTCATCTTTCCATATATTCGTGAAAAATACCTTTTCCTTCTGGGCTACTAAAATATAGTTTTTTGAGCCGAGAATAAGGTAAAGCCCCTTGCTTCAGCCCTGGGGACAGCAGTGAAAGAAATTCATCCTATAATGTTACTGACAAGGACTGAACTACAGGTCTTTCACAAAAGAGAAAATGTTACTGCGTTTGAGTTCCTTTTGGAACACCAGTGTGAAAACAGATGTTAAGTCCGGCTGAAGGCTCTCCTAACTGTTTCCACACACGGGAAGATACCCTCAAACACAAACATTCTAAGCACATTTCTGGTCTCTCCAACAAGACTAGCCATGGACTTACAGGATGGAGAGAGCAGATTAGGAGATGGCCCTGGCTTCATAAACCACCTTTCTCTCCCACACCGTAGGGTCCATCCCCACCATCACCCACTGTTCCTACAAATTCACAGTGGCTATTGCAGAAGGCTGTTTGTCCCTAAAGGGAAAGGACAGATTCTCTTCTGTTCCCCTTTGTGCTGTTGTGCATGTGAAAGGGACGGCAGTATGGGTAAGAAACAAGATTGAGTTCAGGGATGGACAGAAGAGCCAGCCTGTGACCCGGGAGCTGCCCCATCATGTGCATTAATATGGTGTTTAAAGACCCTCAGGAGCAACGCAGCCATATAACTAACAGTCCCTTCTCTATTCTCCTCAGTACGTTGCCACATCAGAGTTCTTTGAGAGGCCAGAACATGCCTCTTATTAATCTTATTACCAAGACTCAATCCCTTCAGAGCAAGACTCAAATCCCACCCCAGCTCTGACACAATAGAATTCTCAGAAGCAAAAACTTCTCCAGCAAAGAGCAATAAATCAGAACCCAGCAGTCCCTCCCCGAGTCTTCTCCAGTAAATGTCATCTTTTCCAGGCAAATAGGAGCAGGCATCGAAGAGGAAGGGAGCTCGGGTTTCCCTGTGGTGTGATTACTACTTTGGGGGAGGGAGAGGCGGGGAGAGGGGGAGAAAACCCGACCCTACCTTGGAGTTTTTCAGAAAGCTGGTATTTTGGCAGTTTTTCTACGAGGGCTTTCTGAATGCCAAGTCCGCTGCAGAGCCCAGCCAGAAACAGAGACCTCCGGTGCCTCCGTGATAAGCCACTGTTACACCCGCTCTGCTTTTCAATAGTGTCAGGTGAACAGGGCCTTGCACTGCAACCTTAGACCTGGAAGAAGAGCCGCTGAGGCAAATCAGCCAAACACTGAGCACCACTGTGCTGCACCCGCCAGGCAGAGGGAGGAGGAGGCCCCGCTTTCTTCTCTGTCGGAAAGATCCTGCCACTCTGCCCCCTTCCTCAACCTTTCTTTTTCTGCTGTGTAGTTTCTTCAGGGTTATCTGTCAGTGGGCCAATGTCATCCATCTCAGGCCACACCTCTGCTTGCGCAATCGCACCCCTGGAGTTTTTCAAAAGTGGAGAACTTGACTTTTTCCGTTGTCATTTTTTTCAACGTTGCAAAGTGATGGGGGCACTGGCCTTGGAAGCCAAAAAAAAAAAAAAAAAAGACTTATACTGGGTGGTATGATTATAGATAATATATTTAACCTCTATGAACTTTTGTCTCCTCATTTGTAAAATGAAGATAATTGTACTTGCTTCACTGTGCCTTGTCAGGATGTTGGGGACGAATAAGATTATACAGAAAATACCTAGAGTCAGGTCTACTGTGCACAAAGCATTTAAACAACAGGTATAGAGTGCAGCTGTCTGCACAGGGGATGGATCTTACTCTGTCTGGAGGGTACCCTTTCCTGACATCCAGTTCTTTAGGGGATGGTCTTTGGTTCATTTTAGTTGTGCACTGATTCATCAGGAGTTAAACTGATGAATATAAACCTCTCTATCTCTAGAGAAAAAAAAAGTGTCCAACATCACCAAATTCAGTTCTTGTATCAATTTCCAAAAGAAATTGTTTGAGCATCATGGAAGTCTGTTTCTGCTCATCACTGTAACAAAATGCCGGAGAGAATCCACTTACAATGAGGAAAGGTTTATTTTGCTCAGTTTCAGAAGTTGCAGTTTACGCTTAGTTGGCCATGGCCTCTGAATGTAGGGTGAGAGTGTGTGGCAGGGACATCCTACCCCAATGGCCGCCAGGAAGCAAAGAAGGAGACAGAAAGGACCCGGGTTCCAACATCTCCCTTAAGACCAACAGAACTTCTTAGACATTTTAATAGCTACCTGGTTCCAGGAATTTGAATTAATGGCAAGAGGTCATCAGATGAAAAGAGAGAAAGGGGGCCAAAAAGACAAGTATAATTATATTTGGGGCCATTTCAATGCATTATCAGATGATATTTACTTAAAATTATACACACACACACACACACACACAATGTATATGAAACACACAGACTTGGATGGTCACCCAGGCATTCATGTAATCAGTCTCTAAAAACTGAGTCCTCAGATGAGTTAAACGCTTCATCTATTTCTTTTTAAAGGTAACCAAATTTCCTACCAAAGATATCTGCTATCTGTGAAGGAATTAGGACCTGGAGCTTATAAAGTCACTTTCTGGATCCTGAAGCCTTCTTGACAGGTTCATTACAAGGATAAATCACATTTACCTTCCTCTGACCTGTGGCAATCCTGGTCCACAGCCACCAGGATTCAGGGCTTGAGCTCACAGAGGCATCAGTGAGCATTCCTGCCTGCAGCAGCATCTCCTGCCTGCTGCATCATCTCCTGCCTGCATCATCTCCTGCCTGCATCATCTCCTGCCTGCATCATCTCCTGCCTGCATCATCTCCTGCCTGCTGTATCATCTCCTGCCTGCATTATCTCCTGCCTGCATCATCTCCTAACTGCATCATTTCCTGCCTTCGGCATCTCCTGCCATCTATCACCTTTGCAGGCTTGCTCTCCAGAGTCTTCCCACAAGTATAAAGTCAGAATTCTTTTCTGGGGGAAACTAGGCCATCTTAAGGGGGAGATGAGATCAGTAGTTTTGTTGTTGTTGTTGTTGTTTGGTTGGTTTTTTTCTCTTTTTATTATTCTTCCAACCAATTCCAGAGAGGAGGTTTGGGGAAAACTTGGTTGAGTTTATAATCCTCTTATATCAACAAACAGCAACCCAAACTGTCAGTAGCTGACTTTGCACAGCAGTTTCAAAACCAGAAACCAAAATAAACTGCCAATAGGAACCTCTCAAGGCAAGATTGGGCTGCATTCTTCCCTGTTGTGTAAGCCAGCCCCCCTTCCACCTTCCCTCCCAGAGATCATTCCACAGGGAAGGATCAGTTCCTCTACCCTGCCCCAAGCAAGTGCCCTTTGAATGCATCTGTAGTTTATAAGATTCCTCAGTCAGATTGGATGTGGCAGGAAAGGACTTCGGTGGGATCAGAACAGGAGAAAAGGATGGGAGTCTGTGAATTCTCTCCCAGCCTGACTCCTTTCCCAGAGGGTGGCTTATGGAGAGTCATGAGTCCAGGGAATATCAGAGCAAGCTCTTGCACACACTTAAAATTCAGCTGAAACTCAAAACCATTAGCAGCTGACAAGAACAGCCAACAGGATGCTGCCAGTAGCTGGGAGAGAGAAAGAAACAAGATTGGATCTTTGGGGTCTGACTGAGCAGCCCTTTGACTTTGGTGCTGATGATAAGAAAGACAGAAGACTAACAGCAACCTCTTGCCCAGCACCTGTTCTGCCCTGTGGAAGAGACCTCTTGCCATCCACTAACTCAGGCAGACACAATGCCATATGGGTAGCCCCTCACACTTTGTCTATCAGATGAGGGCCCTGAGAAGCAACACATTAATAGCGTGAGCTCGGTCATTTAGTGGCAAGGAAAAAGAGCTGTGGCTGTAACTCAGGCCTTTCTGGCTGCCATGCTCATGTGTCTGCTCTGTGTAGGCTGGGAGTTTAGATGTGGCCTCTGGATGGAGAATCCAAGGGCCACTCTGCTCTGCCTGCCATCATCTGCCTTTAAGCACATACACAGGAGGCAAGAGGTGCAAACTGAATCCATGTGTGCTTTCTGCTTCTCCCAGGGGCACAGATTGGCTCTATACCTAAAGCTGAGACAGGTTTAGAAAAACAAACCAACAAAAACAGAGAGGGCCATTTGGCAATGCTGGCCGCATAATACACCTGCCCCAAGACTCCTGGGCCCGCAGGAGGCTTACTGAACTCAGCCTTGATTGCTTTGTTTTCCTGTCTCAGGGTCCATAATTTTCTTGTCAATAATTCTTGTTTCTAACGCTTTATCCAAGTTAAGTTTCCACACACCATCTCTCTTAAACATTGCACCATGCAGCTGCCACCTTACAGAAGGCAGTGGAGAGGCTTGGTGAAGGAAGATACCAGAAGGCTACGGAGCCAACATTTCCTTGGCACTGTTTTTTCAATTTGGTAATGGACATGAAAGGGCTCCCAAAGCACAAATAATCCAATTTTTCTTTTTGGCAGAATTGCTGGATAAGTGCTTTAACTAGAACAGGGGTCTGATGAAGGGAGGCATCAAAGGAAGAGGCAAAGAAAACTTTAGAGTAGATAAGAACCCCCACAAGGAGCCCATCCTCTTCTGTTAGTGGGGTTTATGTTATGCCCAGATAGCGGGCACCCCCAAAAGACCACCATGGAGACCTTGTATGTAAAAGAAAAGAGCCTTTATTATCTTCAAACTCCGAAGTTTGGTCTCTCTGTCTGACACAGTGGTGAGAGCAGAGAGCCCAGAGCCCAGGCAGGGTGGGGTTTTTATCACAGCAGGGGTTGGAGTGAGGATTTCCAGGGTTCAGAACCCTGATTGGCTGACATTTGTCTAGGGGTATCTGTAAAACAGAAATAGGTGTGTGCTAGACTTGGGGACATCTAGCCGCCTTATCTAATGGTTGGAATGTTTGGGATGTCAGGTACTTCCCCTTAGATGTAGGCCCTCTCTGGGTGGGGTCAGCTTATGGCTTTTCCTGGGACTGGGTGTTGCCTGCCAGGAAGCCTGTCACAGAAACTGTGTGTGGGCCTCTAAGACTGTCATGGCAGCTGTGTGGTCAAGCTGTTTTGGGGCCCCTCCACAGTTTATAGTGTACATTTTAATCTTACCCAGGGAACAGTCTTATCTCCCATGTTCTCAATAGTTATCACTGCACTGTCAGAGCTCCGCCCAGTTTCCTATTTCTGTTGGTAACAAAAATACCTTTCTTCAATGCTAATGATAAAAATGATGATGGTGGGGGTTGGAGAGATAGTCTAGTAGTTAAAAGCATGTATTGTTCTTGTGGAGAACTTGGTTCCCAGCACCCAAGTCAGGTGGTTCAAAAAACTACCTGTAACTTCAGCCCCAGAGGGATCAAACTCTGGCCTCTCCTGGTACGTAACACTCAGATGCGCTCTCTCTCTCTGGAGTCTATGTTTTTAATGATGATGGCCAACAGTAACTTTTACTGTTGATACACAAACCTAAAGCAACAGCATATCTAACAGATGATATGTGCATATGTTAATATGTATGCATTAGTACACCAATCCTTACCCCAAAACTATAAGGCACATATGATGGTCTAATTTCACAGTGAAAAAAAAAAGAACAAGGAATTTAAGCCGCCTGCCCAAAGTTATAACCTAAAAAATAGATAGAGACTCCTAACAAAACTGAGGTTCGAAGAGGCTGCTACTCAAGGCCACACAGTCAGAAGGGATAGAAAAGAGTTAAAAACCAACAACGAAGGACTTCACACCACAGACTATGAGCAGCTATGCTGGAACCCACCCTACCTCACACCACCCACACACACCCTAGAAAACTAGAAGTCTCTAAGAATTGACAATACAGACGCTAATGAAGCTTTTCTTATCTTGGTATATGCAGAAAAGCACTTGATGATGATTCGGGTCACATGCAAAAGGCAGCTCCAGGCCCCTTTGACCCCACCTCCCTGCCTGAGAGCCGAAAAGTCAATATTTTGGCTCACCTGAGATCTGTTTGGGAAGTTCTGCCTAAGAAGAATGTTCCCGGCATGTAAATAAGAAGCAAATTGAGACCCTGCATCACGGAAGCTCCTTTTTTGCCTCCCTCCCACAACTACTGTGTTTATTCACTTGCTGTGAATGTCAGTGGCCTCTAGAGTCCAAAGACATGTGTCAGAGTCAGATCTAGCACTAAAAACAAGCGGCCATGGCCCACCACCTGTAAGATTCCACTGTCAATTTTCTTTCCTCTTTTTCCACATAAACAGAACAACAGCCATTAAAACGGAAGCACGAAGAGGCCCAGAGCACCTTGCTGACACCTTTTGCCTAAATGACAGCAGAATCTATTTTTCCTTCTCAAATGAACACCAGTCCCTCCCTGCCTTGCAGTTCTCCGACCACGGAGTCCTGGTTCTGGGTGCTTCTCCCAGGCAAAATGCTGTGGGTGTGCCACTTGGGGTTGTTTTTGTTTTTGTTAGATCACATATCAGGGTCAGGTGTACTCTGCCAGAAGGGCACACTGTGTGACTGGCAGCCAGGCTTTCCTAGTTTTTGGTTCAGTTTTGTTTTGTTTTGTTTTTTTCTGCCTAGCAACCAAACCAGGCATAGTTCCTGTTTCTTGGAAAGGTGAGCAGTCCTAGGGCTCTAGTGCTGCAGTGCATTCCCAATCCTGGGCATGGAGGGGCACACTCCCAAAGCTCCCTTTGTACATGAGGAAGAAGATAAGATGTAAGGGTGCCTGCAAGCCTTTTGCTTCCCTGACTTCCTTTTCCCCTCAGTGGCCGGGCAGTGATAGATGCTCCTAATGCCAGACGTGATGCATACGTGTTGTCAAGCCTGGATTAGTTTGTTACTGCTCTATTAAGTAGGTTAAGCTTTATTAAGCAGGAGAGATTAAGATTACGACTAGACAGTTGAACGAAAGAAATTACAGACTTAATGAGGGTAATGTAGATACCCTCAAATAGAAAGATAATATGTTTTCTTTTATTGGTATGAAGAAAAGAAAAGAAAAAGATGGCGATTAGACACATAGACTCACAGCTTCATCCACTAATACTGAGCAGAAATGGGCAAACAGCAGACATTAATAGACCTTTACCCTCAGTTTGGGAACTCTCTCTCTCTCTCTCTCTCTCTCTCTCTCTCTCTCTCTCTCTCTCTCATTTTTTAAGGAGTTTCATCCATTGTTTATTGCTTCTTTAAATTCTCAGTGGTTACTAATTTCAAGATAGTAAAAGCATACTTTCCTTCAAAGTCAAGATGGTGTGTTTGCACACCTACATTCTGATCACAGGTTGACAGCAGTGAATAAGGACTTAGAAGGAAACAAAAGGCATGGGAACAGCCTGGGAACTCCAGGGTCATGAGAGCCCTTTCTTGTTGGAGTCCTTACATTCATTATTTTCCCCATTTGTCTTCTCCCAGTCTTTACTGGAGCTCTTAGCAGCTCTCACTGCCATCCTCCTGAAGACGTCAAGAGACTCCTGGCCAGTCTCACTTCTGATTGTTGCTCCTGATTCTCCATCCTTCACACAGCTGCCAGACTGACAGCTCTAAAACCCCGAGCCCTTCATGTCATTCCTCTGCTGAAATTCCTTTTTAAGCCACAGAGACTCCACCTTAAGGAGTACCTTCTGTAATAATAGCCACATGTTTTCAAGGCAGGAATATTCAAATCAGCATTGCTTATTGACTGGCAATACACCGAGTGTCTATTAGTAGTGGGACTGGTTAAATAAACCATGATTCAGCCACAT